AGCATAATGACATATAGCAAAATGATATATCAATGAAGACTTAGAATAATGGGTAGAAAAGAGGTATCAGCTTATTTTCCATATCAGAGCATATGATGATTCTTCATAGTGTGCAGGTACCACCTTTTCTTGTTCAGGTCCAAAAATCATGTTCTTCATGTTCTTTATTGTCAAATGTGCCATTCCTGGCTAATTTCATATCTCCCGCCAAGAGAAAAAGGTAGTAACTCTGTTATTATAATTCCATGGGTCTTTGGAACCTGTTTGTATTGAAACAATATAGACATTTTTGTTTCTGGAGTTCCTTAATACTCTTGGTTACAACATTACTCATGATGCATTATTCATGATGTTGTCCATGACTCTCTCAAAAATTATTATTGTATTTTCTTTTAAATTTTTTATTTTATTTCATGTTATTTTATTACTGTGTTTTCTTGATTATGATCACAAATGCAAGTCTTATCCAGAGAATGCCCAAAAATGTGAACAATAATTTGTTTTATGGTCATGTTAAATTTTCACTCAGAATTTTATGTAATAAACATAGAGCATCACTTCTTCTAACCCTATCTTCTTTTGCACACTTTAAACCATAATTACAACATTCCTAGACTATCAGTTATTTGAATGTTGACCACATCCCTATCTTTTGGACACCATCAACAACAGGGAAGATGTGTGAAGGGCCCACAGGTGCAGCAAGAGGAGTGATCCCATTCCTGCATGCCTCATTTGGCATGACTTAAGACAAACATGGAGGGAGCATTGCATCACCACATCAGTCAGAAGCAAAAGAAGACATCGGTTGGAAAGGGCTCTTTGGCACTGTGTAGCAACAATACCAAAATCATTCATCTTGGAGGAGAAAGGTTATACTAACCCGGGAGGACTGCCTGACACCTGTCATGGAATCTTCTGTGGGGGTGGGGTAACTACCCTGGGTGTGAGTGATGGGGCAGAAGGGAGATGGCATGCAGTCATACACGGAATAAAAGATGTCTGCTACCACCCTGTAGTCCTCAGTTGCTGTGGACCACCAGCAGTTCCACAGTCAGAACACTGACAAGGGAGGGCCAGCACAAGGTCCCCAACACATGGGTCATGACTGAGGGTTGGCCCTCTGAGTTCAGAGACCTGAACTCATCTTGAGTTTGACACCAAATAAGCATGTCAACACTATTCTGGAGACCCAATTTCACACTATTTTATGAAAGAACTGTGCTGGCCAGCAAGAGTGACTGACTGACTTACCTGCAAGGTGCTCTCAAATTCTTGTTTTCTTTTTTGTAGAGATGGCATCTCGCTTTGTTGCCCAGGCTGGTCTTGAACTCCTGGCTTTGAGGGATCCTCCGACCTCGGCCTCCCAAAGTGCTAGGATTACAGGCATGAGCCACCATGCCTTGCCTCAAAGATAACATAATAAATGATTATTGTTTTAAGCCACTGAGTTTTGTAGTGCTCTGTTACAAAACAGTAGATAAATAATACATATGACTAAAAACCTAGGTGTCATCCTTGACTCCTCTTTCTCTTACATCCCACATCCAATCTGCCAGCAAATTATATTGGTTTTACCTTCAATATATATCCAGAATCTACTTCCCACCACCTCCACCACTACCACTTTAGTGTGAACCTTCTAACTGTACTGCTTCTACGCTTGAATCTCCACAATTTATTTTCAAACAGCAGCCAGTGTTACTGTAAGAAGGTAAGTCATATAATGTTAGTCCTCTGCTAAAAACCCTGCAGTGGTTACCTATTTTCCTTAGAAAAAAAAGCCAAGGTCTTAAGTCTTTCAAGCCCCTACATGATCTGCTCCCACTACACTACTTCTCTGACTGCATCTCCTGTCCTTCTGCCCTAATTTATACCACTGCAGCGGCACTGGCCTTCCTACTGTTCTTCACCTGTGCCAGGCATGTTTCTACTTAAGGCTTTTGCCCTTACTGTTCCTCTGTCTGAAATACTCTTTCCTTGGATCCTGCGTTGCACAATCCCTCCCTCATCTCCTCCAAGTTATTGCTCAAGTCTTACTTCCCAATGAAACCTACCACCTCTGTAATTTCTACATGTTCATCTCTCTGAACCTTTTTTTTTTTTTTTTTTTGAGACAGTCTCACTTTGTCACCCAGGCTGGCGAGATCTCGGCTCACTGCAACCTCCACCTCCTGGAATCAAGTGATGCTCATTCCTCAGCCTCTGGAGTAGCTGGGATTATAGGCTCGTGCCGCCACACCTGGCTAATTTTTGTATTTTTAGTAGAGATGGGGTTTCACCATGTTGCCCAGGCTGGCCTTGAACTCCTGACCTCAGGTGATCCACCCGCCTCAGCCTCCATCTCTGTGAACTTCCGATACTAATTATCCTACTCTATTCTACAGCACTTATACTCTAACAATACTACACAATTTACTTATTATGCTTATTATTTAGTTTTTCTCCCTCTGTTAGAATTTAAGCTCTATGAGGGCAGTGATTTTCGTATTTTGTTCACTGATATACCCACATATGCATAAAGCAGGCACGTCGTAGGTGCTCAATAAATGAATAACCTATGTCACTAAAAACTGTGCAGGCAGAACTCTTAGCAAGTTCTTGTTCTAGGCACATAATTTAAGCCTGACAAAAGGTCAATTGAACCTTAAGTATGGCATGAAAACAGAGCTGCAGCACCTGAAAGGGCCACACTGGTACAAACGTAAAAATCTTGGGGACAGGCGTGGTGGCTCACGTCTGTAATCCCAACACTTTGGGAGGCCATGGCAGGTGGATCACCTGAGGTCAGGAGTTCAAGTCCAGCCTGGCCAACATGGTAAAACCCTGTCTCTATTAAAAATTTAAAAAATTAGCCGGGTGTGGTGGCATGCACCTGTAATTCCAGCAACTTGGGAGGCTGAGGCAGGAGAATCGCTTGAACCCGGGAGGCGGAGGTTGCAGTGATCGCGCCATTGCACTCCAGCCTGGGCGACAACTCTGTCTCAAAAGAAAAAAAAAAAAGTGGCTATATGATCAGGCCAGGCACGGGGGCTCATGCCCGTAATCCCAGCACTTTGGGAGGCCAAGGTGGGTGGATCACTTGAGCTCAGGAGTTCAAGACCAGCCTGGGCTACCTAGTGAAACCCTGTCTCTACCCCCCCAAAAAAAAAAAAAAAAATTAGCCAGGCATGGTGGCGTGCGTCTGTAGTCCCAGCTACTTAGGAGGCTATAGTGGGAGAATCACTTGAACCCAGGAGGTGGAGGTTGCAGCAAGCCAAGATTGTGCCACTGCACTCCAGCCTGGGTGACAGAACAAGACCCTGTCTCAGAAAAAAGAAAAAAAAAAAAAGAGTGGATATATGCTCTGTGGAGCCTGAAACGTATACAATTGTGGGGCTCTAAAATTATGTAATAAATTCAATATTTATTTAGAGTAAATAAACATGTAATAAAGAATTAAATGATGTCATAAAGTCAACATTTAGAATGAGAAGAATCATTGTAGATTTTGAAATACTGACAAAAACCACAGACATCACAAAGTCCAAAAGATAATAATAACTGCCTAGCAACTGCTGTAAGTCTTCACCCATCTTGCATTTTTTAGTTGCATACTCTTTGCAACTAAATGACCATTTTATACCATTTTTATAGAGATGTTAGAAAGCTAAATTAGTCAAAAATAGATTTTAAATAATTGATAGTCTCGAAACTTTGTAGTATCAGCTTTCCAACTCCTTACTATAATGTCTTGCACAGGTGGTGCTTCTCGCTGAGGAAAGCCCTGGGGAGAATTCCAGCCCTTTGACCTCCCTTGGCTTGGTCTCCAAAAGGGCTGCTAAGACAGCTCCGTCTGGTGGTCACTGCCCTCGTCCCCTAGCCCACCCACCCTAGTCCACCCTCAACTGCCACTTGGCCTGAGAGAGTGACCTCCATGCTGGGGACCAAGGGTCCGATGAAGAACTGGTAATACTTTTTTTTTTCCATTCCGGTGGAATGAGGTTCAGAGTATATATTAGGTTGTACTACAGCAAAAATTAGATTGTATTACAGAAAATTAACTTTTTTGGTTTTTTTGAGACGGGGTCTCGCTCTGTCTCCCAGGCTGTAGGGCAGTGGCACCGTCTCGGCTCACTGCAACCTCCACCTCCTGGGTTCAAGCGATTCTCCTGCCTTAGCCTCCCGAATTGCTGGGATTACAGGCACGCGCCACCACGCCCGGCTAATTTTTTAAATTTTTAATAGAGACGGGGTTTTACTCTGTTGGCCAGATTGGTCTCGAATTTCTGGCCTCAAGTGATCTGCCCACCTCAGCCTCCCAAAGTGCTGGGATTACAGGCGTAAGCCACCAATCCTGGCCGAAAATTAACTTCTATTAATTGCATACCTGGGTTTGCGTACTGAGAATCATACCCTGGATATTTGTATTCCTTACTGAAAAGAACTGTTCTATTTTTCCAGAAAGTGGTTTCCTAAATTCTGGCTTTCCTCCTGTTCTCCTGGAATCTTGCTATTTCCTTCTCGCATACTCTAGAGAAGTGCTTTCAAAGGTGCTCTGAAGCTTACGCTTCACTGGTTTCACAGTAAATCGCCCCCTGTGAGGGCGCTTTTTTTTAATGTGTTCTCTGAATCGCTTTCCCAGTTTAACACTGCATGACAAGACTATAAAGCCAGAATCCCGAAACTGCGGCGCTACCCCTTCACAAGTCGTGGGGCTGTCCGGGGGTAGCCTGCCCATTTTCACTTTCTCCACTAGAGGAAGCAGCGCACCGTGACCCTGGCTTACTACGGTAAGAAGGCGGAGACTTTTTGCTTCGACGGCGGTTGGTGGCCAGAGTCTTGATCGACAAGCTCAGGCCTCTGAACTAAGCAGCCGTTGTTTTTGCAAGTACAGCCAATGGAAAGGCAGAAGTGCAGTCAACGGCCAATGAGGACTGGTTTTAAGCGGACCACAGGGCGGGGCTTCCCTCGAGAGGCGGACGCCGGATAAAGGATCGGGAGCGGACGTGGGCGAGTCAGAGCACATCCGGTGTTAGAAGCGCCTGTAGGCCTTGGAGAGGCTGGTAAGGAAGGTACGTCTGGAGTTAGTACTGGGCGAACTGGGAGTGAGAAATGGAAAGGGAGTTAGCAGTTACTGTCTGAGCAAGAGTGGGAGTAGCTTCCGTCTGCGGACAGGTGGCACCTGAAGGAACGAGGCCCTGCTCGGAGACCAGACTCGGGAAAACTGGGTGGAGAGGGAAGCTAGGGAACTAGTGCTGCGCATGCGCAACAGTGCTGAAGCGGGGCGGGGGGTTGGGGCGGAGGCGAGTCTGCGGGGTTTTGGGGGGGCGTCGAGGCCCCTATTCTGCCCCAGAGCGCTGGCGAAGGACCATTCTCAGCCCGTCTTTTCCTTTCTCCCGCTCCTCCTCCTCCACTAAGTGTAGACGCAGGGCCCCTTGGCCCAGCTTCGATCGCTCGAATTCAGAGCACGTCCTTCCGAGGTGAAGGAACGCGAAACCCCACCCAACCGATTGCTGTTTGGCTGCTGGCGGGTCCTCGGGTCGGGCTGACCCTGGGTGAGCGGCCTGGAGCCGAGTCTCGAGGTGGGGCCTGGCGGGCGGGTGATGTCACACTCTCTGTGACACGCGAGGCTCCTTAGTTACTTCTTAGCCAACGGCAGAGGCGGAAGGCGAGAGGAGGCTGGGGCTGGGGCTGCCTTCCCAGGCCCACGAAGAGGCCCCGCTCTGTTCGGATTGGTTACCTTTGGGCAGGTGAAGTGGCTTTGGTTTGTTTGGTCTTGAGCTTTTGTGGGCGTCTAAGTCTGCTCAGGAAGGGCGTCGTTGGGCAGTTTTTTATTTTGGGCCTATTTGCTGGATCTGTGGTAACAGATAGGCTTTGGTATCTTTGTATATTTACTAAGTGTAGAATTACTATCCCGTGCCAGCCTGGGCTGCTTGGGGTCATCAGCCTTTCGTTGACCACCCCCACAACAAAAATCACTATGAACTTGAGACTGTGTTCCAGCAATTTGTGAATGTGTAACCCAGTAGAAGGGCTGACTGTGCTTGAAACAGACAAGGATTTTAAGGTCAAAGGTAAATAAATGGTAAATGGACTTTTCTAGTTACTTACTGATATTTACAGTTTTTCTTTTGTATGTGTGGTTTAAGAATTTAATTCTGGAACGATATCGGAATTGCACAAACACATTTCTTATGGCCCGTGTATACACTTTTTTCCCCTGTAATTATTGTATTTACACTCTTTGGTGTTTTCTTATTCCTTTTTGTTGTCTAATATTTTTTGTTCTGGCCTAAATATGTTGACGTTTAGATTGTCTGCCACTTTCCTCCAGTAGGGACAGTATAGTTGAACCCTTGGGAAATACAATCTGTACTTTGGATCCAGAGTTTCCTTCTTCCGTTATTCATCTGGTTGTGGAAACATGGCTTAGTACCTTCCTTCTTTTTTTTTTTTTTTTTTTTGAGGCGGAGCCTCACTGTTGCCCAGGCTAGAGAGCAGTGGCACAATCATGGCTCACTTGAACCTTGACCTCCCCTGCCTTAGGTGATCCTCCCACCCCAGCCTCCTGAGTAGCTAGGACCACAGGTGGACGTCACCAACTCCAGCTAATTTTTGTATTTTTTGTGGAGTTGGGGTTACACCATGTTGCCCAGGATGACCAACTCCTGTACTCAAGCGATTTATTTATTGTTATTACTATTATTATGGTTTTTTGAGACATCTCACTTCCTTACCCAAGGTGGAGTGCAGTGGTGCAATCTCAGCTCACTGCAGCCTCCGCCTCTCGGGTTTTTGCAATTCTCATGCCTCAGCCTCCTAAGTAGCTGAGATTACAGGCTTACCACCACGCCCAGCTAATTTTTGTATTTTTAGTAGAGACGGGCTTTTGCCATGTTGTCCAGCCTGGTCTCGAACTCCTGACCTCAAGTGATTCGCCCGCCTCCACCTCCCAAAATGCTAGGATTACAAGTGTAATCCTTTCCTAAAGAATAAGAGTCATCTCTCCTAAAGAATAAGAAAAGGTAAAATTAATCCAGATACTTAGCATTTTCAAGTTATTTCCCTGATTAAAGATACACTTCATGCTCTTTATACAAACGCTGAAAATACAGGAAAAATGTCATAGGAATTAATGTATGTTTTGGGAGTTTTTTGTTTTAAAGATTTGTCTTCACCTGTGGCTGAAACTTACTTTTGAAAGCTTATATAAATGAAAACTTATTTTTCTACTGTAGGATGGAATAGTAAAAAGAGCACTAGACTATAGTGGTCAGAAGACCCCAAATCTGGTTCTGACTCTGCTATTTAACTTTCTGATGTTGGTCAAATCAATACTAATGTTTGTTTTAGTAGTTTACGTTGATTTCACATAGATTTTCTTACTGGCATTCAGTAGAGCAGGTACTAATCATCATTATCTTACAGATGAGGAAGCTGAGATAACCTTAGGTAAAATGATTTTTCCTAGGTTATGTGGTAGAAAGTGGCAGCACTTGTGACACCAAATCCTGTCCTCTTGCCACTATTGCATTGCCTTTTTGAACTTAAAAAAGATGTATATTTAAAGTGGGCCTAATCTTGCCCTTTCTTCGTGGGTTGATGTGTGAGGATTAAAAGGCATATGTATATAAGAGCACCTTAAAAGTTCTAAATTTTATATAAATGTAGTCAGGAGTATTAGTATAGAAGGTACTACTGCTGGCCTGACGAGTTTCATTTTATTTCGTGAACTACCCAAGGGTATTAATTTCCTTTAGGGAAACCATTGAATATTCTGATGCTCTAACTTCTAATGTTTTTTCCTTTATTACTTTGACCTGGTTGTAGAATCTGGTAGAAGTGTCTTCTGCTACTCTGTTTTGTTCCCCCAGAGTTTCTAACCAAACTGCATGCAGCCCTTCGTAGTTTTTATACACATTTTGTTTTCCAAAGATGGTGTTCGAGACCAAGGAGAAGCCTGTCTCCTTGACTTTAAGGTTACTTGAGTGACCCCTTGAGGTAGGTTCCACTCTGAGCCAGCTGGGCAATGTTGACTTAAGGTTACAGCACTCTTGATCTGATAATAGGTTCTAAATTTGCTCTAGAGACTCTGTAGTGCTTATATCTTGGGGATAGCTGAGCTGAACCAGATGCAGACTCTGCCCTCAGGGTGAGAAGTTTCTGCACAATTAACTGGAATCCAAAACACTTGAAAAAGGAGCTTCAAGAGTGAGGGTGAAGTGGGTGTGCTGTTTGTCCTAATCTGTGTGTGCTCCCATTTGGGCTAAATATGGTGTTATTGGGGAGGGATTACTGGTTTATACTGGAAGAAGATTATTTAGGATTTTGGGGCCTTCTTAGGATTCAGTATCTGTCAAACAGTTGTTAATAGAGAAGGAGATGCAGTAGTGTCAAAGTTTGGTACAAAAAATAATTTATTGAAGGCAGTAGACATTTCATCTCCAGTTACCGGTTTGGTTTTGAGGCAGCGCCCTAGAGAGATGGATTCAGTATTAGCTAATCCAGGGATTTGGGTCCAAGTTAAGGGAGAGGCTGGGACATCTAGGGTGTCCACCTGGGAAGATCAAAGCTCAGCCCTAGTTGAATGAAACACAATTCCTTGGATTGTTCCAAAACTGAACTGACCTACCTCCTGGGAGTGGCAGGGAAAGCACCAAGCTATTAAGCATTTACTTCATCAAATCCTTTACTATATCAGATTATCACTTAGTGGCTATTAGGCTGTCTCAAAATGCCCATGGCCCTGTGGGAGAAGAGCGATAGTATAAATGTGCTAGAGGAAAGGTATGCCATTTAAACAAAAGTACAGACAGACCCCAATTTATGATGATTTGACTTAAAGATTTTTTACTTTATAATGATACGAAAGTTCTACTTGTTTGTTAGAAACTGTACTTCAGGCCGGGCACAGTGGCTCATGCCTGTAATCCCAGTACTTTGGGAGGCCGAGGTGGGCAGATCAGTTGAGGTCAGGAGTTCAAGACCAGCCTGGCCAACATGGCAAAACCGTGTCTCTACTTAAAATACAAAAATTAGCTGGGCGTGGTGGCACACGCCTGTAATCCCAGCTACTTGGGAGGCTAAGGCATGATAATCGCTTGAATCCGGGAGGCGGAGGTTGCAGTGAGCTGAGATCATACCACTGCACTCCAGCCTGGGCGACCGAGCGAGACTATCTCAAAAAAATTAAAAAAAATAAAAAGAAACTATCCTTCAAATTTTGAATTTCCTTCTTTTCCCAGACTAGGGATGTCTGGTATGATGCTTTTACATGAGATATTCAACACTTTATTATAAAGTAGGCTTTGTGTTAGATAGTTTTGCCCAACTTCAGACTAATGTAAGTGTTCTGGGCACATTTAAGGTAAGGTAGGCTAGGCTTAAGCTATAATGTTTGGTAGGTTATGTGTAATAAATGCATAAATTACGATATTTTCATTTTACAATGGGATTATTGGGATGTAACTTCATTGTAAATCGAGCATCTGTACTTTTAACTAGTAATGAGATTTTTCAAGTGCCTTTACATTTCAGTTTATAATTTTCTTTTTTCTTTTTTTTTTTTTTTTTTGAGATGGAGTCTCACTCTGTCACCCAGGCTGGAGTGCAATAGTGCCATCTTGGTTCACTGCAACCTCCGCCTCCCAAGTTCAAGCGGTTCTCCTGCCTCAGCCTCCCAAGTAGCTGGGATTACAGGCGCCCCCCACCACGCCCGGCTTATTTTTGTATTTTTAGTAGAGATGGGGTTTCACTATGTTGGCTAGGCTGGCCTCGAAGTCCTGACCTTGTGATCCTCCCACCTTGGCCTCCCAAAGTGCTGGGATTACAGGTGTGAGGCACCGTGCCCAGCCTATAATTTTCTTACCACCATCCGCCTCCGAAGTTATTACTATTATTATTATTATT